ACAAAATTGCTAAAATAATCTAAATGGAATAGGCATTGAAATAACCAGTGGTGATTTTAAAAAAGTGGTGACTCAGGGAAACTGCAGGTATTGAAGAAAAAACTTGACAAAGTAAACTAAAGACAATTAAAATAAGAAAAAAGGAAGCATGGCTTGGCACAGAGAAGGAAACAGGAAAAGTTCTGGTCAATGTAATTGAAAAGAAATGTAAGAAGTTTTGAAAGACATACTAGCATCTTCAAACTGGGTCAATTTTTAATAGAGAAAATTCTCACACACAAAAACTGTGTCTACTGGATTGTACAAGTATGCAGTATTTTTGAGGATGTTCATTGCTTTTCCAGATGTGTATGTTATTCTTTGTGGTTTTGCTGAGATCAGAGAGACTAAAAGAAATCACAGTGTGTTTCAGAGATGTGGGAAAGTTTGTTCACCCATTGCAAACTTCCCTACAAACTGTATCTGACTTCCAGTTACATATCATGTTATGAGAATCAAAGAATCAAGATGGTTTTCTTTTCTCATATTAATTTCAGTTCCATTCGTAGGAAATACAAACTCTACCTTCTTGTCCCTGACTGACCTCATATGCTCCAAGACAACATTTCCCACTAGTAACTCCAGCTCTCCTCCTGCTTAGGAAAAGAAGGAATATGTGGCATGGGAGCTGTTTTCAGGAATCAGTGAGACTTGATATCCTGCAGGCTGATCTGAAGTTTTCATAGAATGGCTGGGGAAGAGGACCAGAAGTACTATTTTGGAGTATGAAAATATGAGTGTTTTAGGGGACCATGTGTACACATACCATTTCTGCTTTCTTTTTTATAAATATACTGTTTCTTCAAGTAATGAATAAATTATTGTAAGTGATTATTTAAAAAAAAAGATAATACTATCTTTATCTTTTTGTATCTCTGAGAACACTCTCGCAGCCAGTTTTGTCCTGCTTGCTAGTGTCCATTCTTTCATTCCTTTTGGGAAGTTCCCAAAGAGTTTAAGAAAAAAAAAAGGCCCATTAAGTTTATTAATGTTTTTCATGCCATTGAATAGAGAATTATGTTCCTTTTATGTAGAATTATATAGGATGTTTAGTCTCGCTTCCCCTATAGCCTTGTTGTATTACTTTGGGAAAATAGCTTAGCTTGCTTTTAGCTCATTGTGCCTATTCATAGAATGAGTATAAAAATCTGTATGTCAACTAGCAGTTACAAGACTTCATTAATTAATAGAAACAGATACATTTTTGAAATATAAAAACAAGGTAGTATGATTTTTGATGAGCAGGAAGAATGTGGTGAGCAAGATTAAAGGAAGATGAAGGGGAAAAAGAAAACAATGGGTTCCAGACTTTCATTGATAAGTGAACAGTTTATCAAAGACTGATAATTACTAACTGGAGGGCTAAATGAGAAGTAATTTCATTTAGGTCAATAGAATACTACCATATGAGATTGGAATCAGGCCGCATCAGCAGTACCATTTGCCATCTAGCAGTTTTAAGATGAACAAGAGTACTTAATTTTCAGACCTCTCTCCCCCTTTGAGTAACATAGAAAATGTTTCTGTTTGTATGGCTGGATAATTCCACTACAACTGAAAATGCTTGAATTGTTGTGCAGGTATTATTATTTTGTATTATTTCATTTTTAAAATAAATGATGCCAGCTCTAGAAAATTAGAATCTAAGTTTCAGTCAAAGACTCCTGTTTTGATTGATGGTTGATCATGTTATGATGATGAAGATTTTGATGTAAAAGAGGATGTAGGACTTACACAGTAGATTTAGAATCTACTCTTTATAGGTTTATAATTCCTCTGATGACCATTAGAAATTTAAAGCAGTTAAAAATATTGGCTCTTAAACTGTATGTTTCAGCCTTATCTCGAGGAGCATTTCTGTCCTAGTCTGGTAAAAGCCCTTCTACCATGGTACTAGTAAATGATTTTTCACTCGTGAGTCTCTTTCATTTGTACATTAGAAAAATAATTATTCCAGTCCTGAGTTGATGAATGTCTTGGTTTGCATGACATATGCTTAGTTTTTTTATAAAAACTACCTCATTGTCTGTCTTTTTGATATTTCTTTCTAATTCTAAGGCTTTTTTCTGAAGAATAACTCCCTGTACTAATTTTTTTTTTTTGTGTGTAACATAAGAAGGTGTGATTCAGTCATTCTCTTCTAGGCTTTCCTATCTCTTTGCCTTTCTTTTGTCTTTCTGAAGTGTTCTACAGCATAGATCTGTGTTTAGATGAAAGGGGATCTTTTCTTTTTAATGAAGTAGCTGTGACCCTCCACCTGCAAAGATACTATCGATGCCGTGATCATATTAGTTTTGCTGAGCCAAAATACATTCTAAGCACATAAATTAGAGCACGAGTACTTACAAATGTCTCCTCTCTTGTCACTATTTCTGCAAAGCACATTGTCTCTATACAGAGTCATTACAGGCAAGATCACAGAAGGTGAACAGCTATTATAAAAAATATACTGAGAAAGGAGGCTGTGCCCCTTTGCCAAATGAGGACCTCAACAAACAGAGCGTGGCTTTGCTGGAGACCGCAGTGTGCCCCCTGCACATCCCCCCTCTCTCTGCTGCAGGAGAATGTGCCAGGGAATGAGGAGCAAACAGAGAATGTGACTTGCACTTGCAACAGGGCAGGGTCACAGCCATGTCCATTGGCATGCTCTGTGCGCAGCAGGAGCAGCCACACAGGGCAGCTGGCCCTTCAGGGTCCTGGGGTCTGCCTGTCCATGAAGGTGCTCCTTGTCCTTCTCCAGAGAGCTGGGACTCGGCCACCACTGCAGCACCAGTGGCCTGGCTCCTGTGTCAAGCACGTGGGGTAAAACAGGAAGGCAGGCACTTGTGGGCCCTCTGTAGCAACTCAGTTGTGTCAAATGCAAGGCTTGGAAAGCACAACAGTTCACTGCCTAGGGATATCAGCTTGTTTTCCTCAGGGAAAAAAAAAAAAAAAGCCTACAGAGCTGTGCTGCCTTTTGGACTAGCTGCTGACTCAGTGTTCAAGCTGAAGAGAATAATAAATGATCCTGAAAAACAAGAGCCATTTTGGTTTGGTTTTTTACTTAGCAGCAGCAGTAAGTGTACACATGACGTATGCATGAGTCTTGTCTTAAACCTAAGGTTGAGAATTGTTTCCTTTAGTGAAGAAATGTATATTCTTAGTGTGCTTTAGCTAAGTGGTGACACTTTACTCATGAAGAACTGACGTGCAATGTGAGAACAAGGCCTTGCAAAATCCTAGCATCCTTTTTTTTATTTCCATCTACTGGCAATGCACAGAATTCTGAAAAAAAGGTATTTGATTAGGTACCTACATCTGGATTTTAGATTCCTCTTTGAAGATACGTACAAATGGTTGTTAAAAACATCCCATGCCTTTTGTAAAATAAAGTGTAATCAGTATTGGAAGGAATGAAAACACTTGCTTAAACAGTGTTTAAAAAGCTCATCTTGGGCTGGATTATTGGATAGTCCTGTATTTTAAAATGCAAATTGTGTCTTTATTAGTTCAGCAACTTGTGAGGCTCTGTACTGAAAAATTGTGTTTAATTTCTCACAGATAATTCTTATTTTCAGAACATAGAATCATAGAATCTTTTAGGTTGGAAAAGACCTTTAGGATCATCCAGTCCAACCATTAACCTAACATTACCAAGTCCACCACTAAACCAACTAAGGGTAGAGTAGGAATTTTGTGTTTCCTGGCTTGGTGGCTGGATTATTCCCAATGAAAGTAAAAACTAGGAATCATTAAGGTTGGAAAGGTTCTCTAAGATCATCAGTCCAATCATTGACCCAACACCACCATGTCCACTAAACCATGTCCCAAAGTGCCACGTCTACACGTTTATTGAACACTTCCAGGGATGGTGACTCCACCACCTCTCTGGGCAGCCTGTTCCAATGCTTGACTACCCTTTCCATGAAGAAATTTTTCCTACTATCCAATCTAAATCTCCCCTGGCGCAGCTTGAGCCCATTTCCTCTTCTCCTATTGCTAACTACTTGGGAGAAGAGACCAACACCCACCTCACTACAACCTCCTTTCAGGTAGTTGTAG